CAAACTTTGTTTTGTTCTCCAAAAATTAATCTTATTATTTTTTTTATTATTCTTTGATTAATCTAACCTTTTACCCCCATATTCTCGTATCAACCTAGCAGGTCACCAAGCTACTACGACCGGTTGCCTATCATACGTGACACTTCAATATTGGTGTTTTTTTTTCTTCCTGCACTAACAAGATCCTTCTTTCTTTCTCTGCTCATTTCTCTCTTCCATGGCCTTCCTCCATTACCCTATCTTCCTCAATTGCCACCTCACCTCCCCTCCCACTTACCAACTAACAAAACACCAACATCATTGTGAACCACAACCACCACCACAAAACACCCTATCATGTTGGTCAATAAAGTTATGTTTGACTAAGGCCCGTATCTAACCCAGGGCAAATGGGGCATCTGCCCAAGGCCCACGGATAGAAAGGGCCTAGTTTTCAACTTTTAAGTTCGTTCAGGAGTACACATATAATTATTTAGAGATGCATTTATCATCATCATTGTTTTTGTAGCTTGGTGGTTAGGGTAAATTAGTGAAAGTTCTCCTTAGTAGTTCGAACACCATTAGCGTCAGTTTGCTTTTTTTTTTTATTATTTTTTTTTATTTTCCTTCCTTCCTTAAACTACCATATATACAACGTATATATAAACATGTAAACAACTTATATAACTATCAGAGGGCAATATCCTTTTTTTTAATGAACTTTTTATTTCATTTTACTAGTGTTTTAAAATTCAAGAGAAGGTTTTGCATGATACTAGATAAGACTCACCGTGAGTCTAATATATGTCTGACAATAATATCTTAATATCTAACACTGATAACATAATACCTGGAAATAATAATAATATCCGACAATAATAATCTAATACCTGACGACAATCATAATAATCTAATACCAAAACAATAATAATCTAATACCTGACATTAATATTTTGGGGGGCTTATTATACATTTTCACAACTATCTTCATATCTCTTTTGATTACATTTTTCTCCATAATTTCATTCAATTCAACCTTCCAATTTCTGCATCAATGGAGGTCATCTAGGAACCTACAATTCCTTCCAATCACAAACTATGCGGATTCCTCACAACAGTCCTATCATCAATCAACCCCAATCAAAAACCCTAGAATTTGGCAATCATCTTCAATTCTTCTCCCACAAATTTGGATTCGGATTCAGATCAAATCCAATTCCTGCGTAATTCTCTTTGCTATCCCTTATTCTGGCCACTACATTGATGCCAATGATTCGAATTCAACAGCGAAAACGACGTCGACGAAGAAGAGAAGGGAAAATTGAAGCGCGTTAAGCAGAAGGTTGGGATGGAGTGTGAATGGGAATGCTGTTGTGAGTGTTGTTCATGGCGGCGGACTCACGGTGATTTTATTATTCTTGCTATTATAATAAAATATCTATGGTTATTTTCCTAAAAAAAAAAATTATGGTTATAATTGAACAATGATCAATTTCATTTGTAAGAGAGAATCGGTCATAATGTTATGACGTGATTTTATTTCTTTTAAATATTTTTTTAAGTACCATATAGTTGTAGAAGTATATATTATTTTACCATTTTATATAGTTTAATTATTTATAAGGTTTTTAAAGAAACAGTCAAAACTAGATTACCGATTGAAATTTTTTTTTTTTTTAAAAAGATTGTTTGTTTAAATTAAAGTAATTTAAAAACAATTTTTCTCCAATATTTTTTTTGTAGATTAGGGCTCGATTTATTCTTTCGCCCTTAGGCCCCCAAAATTTTAAAAGCAGCCTGCTTCTGAACAATGGGTATATTAAAAATAAAAAAAAAAACAAAAAAAAAAACTCTACCCTTATTATGTACATATTTAATCTCTTTTGTATTGAAATTAATTACCTGAAATATTTGTGGATATTTTATTAATGTTTGATCTACCTATAAGTTAAAAAAAGGCAATGTTAATAATATAGAAGATCCACAAATATCTCAGTTAGGGAAAAAAAAAGTATTCTTGTTCACATTTACTGAATTGAGCTGAATTGAACAGAACTGATTGGAGCTAAACTGAATTGAACTGAACTGAGCTGAACTAAGCTGAAATGAATATTTAATGAGAGAGGGAAATTAGGAGCTGAACTGAACTAAATTAGACTGAACTGATTGAAGCTGAACTGAACTGAAATTAAGTAAATGTGAATAGGCCCTAAATTCCAATACAAAAGAGATTTTAATTAAAAAGGTAGAATGATATACAAAGTATTAATTCAATAAGATTATATAAGGCGAACTTTCCATAAATTTATTAAAAGACAATCAATATATTTATAAGGGTGAATAACTTTTATGATAACTTTAATCCATTTAAGGATCAATTTTAATTTGTAATTGTATGTATTTTCTAGTGGATGCATGTCATATAAATTAATATGATAATTTAAATATATTTTCTAGTGGATGCATGTCATATAAATTAATATGATAATTTAAATATATTATGAGTATTTTTGAACGATAAAATTTATGTTAGAAATTTGGTAACTTTAACTTTATAGTGTATTAGAAATTACTCTCCCGTCTTATAATAATTACGAAGTAGTTTTTTAGTGTTTAGAGAGCCACTAGGCAGGGGTGAGAATCGATCTTAGGATCTTTTAGAATCGGGAGGGAAACTCTAAGCCTCTAACCACTCAAAAACTTTTGCATGCCCCCGGTTTACAATATTTTAATGTTAATCGAACATTTTGCGAAAAGTGACCTTTTTTTTTTTTTACAAAAGTGACCCTTTTTTTTCTTCACAAAAGCGACCCTTTTTTTTTTTCTTCACAAAAGTGACTTTTTTTTTTCTTCACAAAAGTGACCTTTAAAGTGACTCTTTTTTTTTCACAAAAGTGACCCTTTTTAAGCTACATATGCAAATTAAAAAACAGAGTATCAAATCTCACTAGTTTTTTTTGTTTTTTTTTCCAAAAGTAAGCCATATTTTGTTACTTTGATTCGAAATTTTCTACTACTACTTTGATCTGTTACTATTGCCACTATTGTTACTCGATCTATTGTGAAAGATGAACAATCAATTTCTATTCAATTTTATTTTCTGTAAATTTAAATAAATTCTCTTAGATCTGGAACTAATTTTGAAATTTTCGATTGATTTTCAGGACAGAGAAACCGACAGATCTAGAGGATTTGGCTTCGTTACATTCGGAAGCAAAGAAGAGGTTGATGCTGCAATCGAAGGAATGAACGACCAAACACTCAACGACAGTCAGATCACTGTTAACGAGGCTCAAGCTCGCGACAGTGGTGGCGGTGGCTTCTGTAGTGGGTGAAAAATTAGATGAACATACATACCTCGAAATTGTCTGTAGAAGATGAATCATTGATCAAAACAAGAAAAGTATGTTACAAAATCAAGATAAACTCGAAAAAAAGAAAGAAATTGAAGAACAAAGGAGAGAGAAATAGAGAAGAAGAAGTGCAGAGGAGAGAGAAGAAGAGCGGGAAAAATAGATCAAATAGAAACATAGGAGGAGAAAGAAAAATAGAAACTCACGTAGTAAAACTTTCGCACGTGTAATCTGTGCCTCAACCACCGCCATTCAATAATTATTGTAAACCCGCTTTTTTAAAACTTTTGTGCTAACCACTTGAGTTATTTGTCACTCTCATAATGAACTTAAAGTCCGCCTTATTCAAGATTCTATGTATATATTAAGCATAAAAAAAAGTCAAAACACAAGCATATGTGAAATATTTTTAAAATTTTGGCTTAGTACCTGTTTACATTTACTTAACTGAGCTGACCCGAATTGAACTGATTGGAGCTGAACTAAACTAGTTGGAGCTGAACTAAACTGAACTGAACTGAATTGAGCTGAAATGATTTTTTTATGAGAGAGGGAAATTAAAAGCTGAAGTGAATAGAACTGATAGGAGTTGAACTGAACTGAACTGAACTGATTGGAGCTGAACTATACTAAACTGAACTGAATTGAAATTAAGTAAATATGAACAGACCCTTAATATAAATTTCAAAATATGAAGTTATTACACTTTGTATGTATTGATTTTTTGAAAATATTTAAAGTTGGAATCATGCTTTTGTAAATCTAAAAGTAATTCAAATTTTCAGGTATTATGAATGGAGGAAATTTATGATTTTTTTTTGGTAAGTTATGTATGATATATTTTATGTTGGTTAATAGAGCGTACATTATGGGTAATATTCAGAAAAATCACACTATCCATGTTATATATAATCTTTATCTTTAATTCTGTATTGGTTTGGAATTAAATCATTAACTATTTTTTTCCTTACCTAGCATATTTGGGAATCTTCTATATATTAACCTTTACTATTTTTTCCTTACCTAGCATATTTGGCCTCAAAATGATTTGCGAATAATTGTTGTTACATAGTCATACACTCATACTTGTTGATATTTATTAGTTAAAGTTACGCACAAGTAAACGTGAATATAAAAGTGTTGCAAATACAATAAAGTTAGGAAGTATACGATTTCATGTAGGTTGGTCAAACAACTTAATTATGTTGTACATTATGGGACATCGAAATCAATAACTCTATCTACCCTTTTAAAGTGTAATCTCTTTTGTATTATTTGGAATTAAATTATTAATAATTTGTTCCTTGTTTTGCATATTACATCTCCTTGACTGATTTTGTTTTATCCAACTATAGCTGGATCAGCTTATTATCTTCCATATGTAATTATGTATACATAGTCCCAAAATGGACGGTTTGCACATAATTGTTGTTATATACAATTGAATTTATATATGATGAATAGCTTATGTGAATAAACATACCTCAAGAACAAAAAATGACACCAACTATACTCATGTTTTTCTTACACATTATTACTACTTCCATCATATTCCATGAAGCCAATGCATTTTCATTGCCTATGATCCCCATAGACTCAAGCCACTTACAAATTGTACCTCAAAGTTTCACTACTCGACAACGCCACCAATTCTTGATGAATATAACCATGTCAAGGGCTTCAATGTACCCTATACTAAGGGACTCAAACTCAAGTACAAATTCATTAGAAGCCGATGTATCATGGAGGCTAAGCAATTATTTCGTAACTCAACTCTTCTTTGGTACAAGCTCACATCTTTTTGCCCCTTATGTTATCTTAGACACTGCAGATGATAAAATTTGGGTCCAAACTTATGGTTGTGACCCATGTTTTGAAGTAAAGGGTGGAAACCCTAATGTCCAATTATCGGCTTCATTTAAATTAATGAGCTTAGATGATCCGCGATGTGCTCTACCAAAATTTGAATATAATGGGTTATGTGGCTATAGAAGCATGTATGGGAGTCGATCTGGACCGACAACCATGGGTCCGATGGGGACGGATACATTTTTATTCATTGATTCTCAAACACAAAAACCCACATTTTTTGAAGATATAGCATTTGGGTGCGGCGTTGAAAATAAGAACATCAGGTTCGGGGGTAACACAGGACCTGAAAACACAATTTCAGGGATTTGTGGACTCGGACCGATTAGTCCAAAGTCTTTAATTAACCAACTAGATGCACAAGTTAAAGGTCGTTTTTCTTATTGTCTTACATCTTGGGCTGAGCCTAATCTTGGGAGATCTACAATGTATTTTGGAGATGATGCTCGAATAGTTGGACCAACTGTCCAACAAATTGCTATGAATACCAAAATCAAGTACCATCTTTACTTTACTGGTATAAGCGTTGATGGTAAAAGGCTTCCGATTGATAAATCTGTTTGTGCAATTGGTGATACGAGGACTGTGACTACAGGCTTCTTCATTGACTCGGGTGCACCAAGCACAGCTTTAGCTAAATCCGCGTACCAACCCTTAAGGTTGGCATTGGTAAGTTACTTTGCTCAATATGGTTGGCAACCTGTTAAAGAACAAGAGTATGATCTTTGCTACTTGTCGACGCCTAAAGAAGGCCAAAGCTATCCAACCGTGGTGTTTCATTTTTCGAAGGGAGATCAAGGAGGGGAGGTTGATTGGATAATGGACAAAGATAACATGTTTGTTAGATTTGGTACGGTTGATGGTTTTTGTATGGTGATTGGGGAAACTCCTGATCCAGGACCTTGCATCTTTGGAGCGTATCAACATGCAAACTTTAGAGTCTTATATGATGTGAAAAAATGGTCAACTTTATTTCACCCCTGATAGATGCCAAGAGAATCTTGTTTAGCTTGATAATACTTCTATATAATAGTTGAATTTATTGTATAAATATGTTGCTGTAAATTATAATAAGTATCTGAGGATGTTATTTCAGATGTTATACTACTACAAGAGGGGGGGTGAATTGTAGTAAGTTCTTAAGGTCTACTTTTCGCGGAATATAAAACTGGTTGTTGTTAGGAACTTAAAAAATGTAAAGCAGATTTTACGAGGAAACCTTCCAAGGCCTAGCTGGAAGTAAAACCTCGACCCTTCAAGGGATTTCAAGTCAAACCAATCCACTATAATATGGCAACTCCTAGTTACAACCTATTATACACTGACCTTTCTCACAAGTTCCTACCTGAAAACTTGCTACTCGATAGGACCCTATCCTACCCAACCTAATAAGCCCATCACTTAGATTCACTCGTACTCCTTCAGTACCACTCACTCTGCCTTTCACTAGAAGCTCACTCGGTTTCACCCTAGAAGCTCACATTTTGAACTCATACAATTATGATAACGAGACTTCTCATGTACTCTCACACCCCAATACATAAAATACTCAAAACCCTTTTTCCAATTACAAGATCTTAAAGAATAACTCTAAGTACATATCAAATGAATAAAGAGATAAAACTAATATGTTGTACACTTAAGATCGGTCTGGAACTTACGAGACGAACTGAAACCAAACCTAACTGGAACTTTGACCTGGAGGTTTGACTTAGCTTCGTGGTGAAGGATGAAACTGTAACATCCTAGAAATTCCTTTCTTTTAAAAAACTTGTTTTGCCCGGTTTAAAACTTTAAATAGGAATATCTAATATGTTGACCTTATGTTTTGATGTTGACTCAAGGAACCTAAGCAAACCTATACAAGTTTAACTTTCATTCTTAGCTTTGATTTATGACAGGTTTATGATATGAAATTCTTGAGTGAGAAGGGAGCATGGAACAAGATCTAAGTTAGCTATGGAAGGATAAAGAATTCAATCACAAGTCGTGTTCCTTTTATAAGGAACTGAAGCTCCAGAGTTGAAGCTTCGAAGGGAAGTTCCTTTAGTGAGGAACTGAAGCTTTAGAGTCTAATATATTTTATCTTTATGTTATGCATCTTGTATTTATGCTAAGTACAATGATAATTTAAGGTTTAAGTGGATTTAAATTTATTTATGATAAAAGATTTTATTTCCCATATTTTAACTTGTTAATTTTTCAAAAATATCTTTTAAGTTAAAATATCTTTTGGAAAAAGATTTTCAGGTTTGATTTCATCTTATTCTTTGGAAAATCTGTTTTAGAAAATATTCTTTTAACGTGCGTTTTACAATGTCAAAAGCAGTTGAGATATTTTTGAAGGAGTTGTGTCTTCGACAAGTGCAATTACTAGATATATCAAAGATCACTATTATGGAGATAATAAGTTCGTTCTCTTGGGGCGTCATCATCTGTTGCTAGACTATGAGAGATGATCTTTGGGCTAGTCAAATGGTCCAAAGCCCGCTAGAATGGATCCTATGAGGTCACACACAAGAGTATTGGGTTAAGCAAGGTAGAGGCCCATTAATGGGCCTCATGAGCAATTAACTAATCATGAAATGGATTGGGCTATCATAGTTAGATTGGAATTAAGTTTTGGGCTTTTGACATGGGCTCTTATTTAAAGATGAGATCTATAAATAAGATCCATGCCTAGGGTTGCAAGCAGTCATAATTCAGACACGGTATATTTTGACATCAAGGCAACCAATCCCAAAAACCCTAATTCCTCTCTCTAACTCACGGCTTTCTCTCTCCTCCCCTCGTCTGTACGGCCGGCCATCCTTGGTGGCGCATGTGGTGGTTCATGGTGGTTCGTTGCTCGCTCTTCTCCATAGAAGGTCAATTGAAGGGTTCAATTGCAACTAACTAGCATTAGTGGAGGTCTTAATCTGTGCCCGTGGACCAAGTAGAGGAATCACGCTTGGGGTTCTTTATCTCCCATTGTTCTTGCTCGATCGCACGTGGAATCACGCTTCAAAGGTACGATTATATGTTCTTTATGTGTTATGCATTAGATCTTGGGATTAGGTACTGTATGAATATGATTCATGTTATTTCTGCTGCGTAGTACCTATATAATTCCCTACAGTGGTATCAGTTAGCCTATTGCATTTACGCATAGTGACTATAATTCTTTGATAGCCCACAATTTTAATTCAATTAAGAGGGAGATTGGGATTAATTTTATGATGAACCCTATGTTTGATATTATCCATATTTAAAGTTGTTAAATTGGTAATTATCCATAATTAAAGTGGTTAATTTTGGATAAGATTTGTTAGGATATTTTGAGCATATTCCAAAAGGAGGGTTTCAATAAAATTAATTTTATTTAATTTTAATTCCAAAACCTTTCGTTAGTCACGCACAATAATAATGTCATAAATAAATAAAGCAACGAACACATCATATACTTATAGAAACTAGCATTATTCGCTCTTCATTCATGCCCATTCATGAATATTCTTTATCACTTGAAAAGCTTTTCTCTACTTGTTTCCACTACTCTCCATTAAAAATGGGTCATCATAGGGCCAAGATAAAGACAAGGCCAACAAACAGCAAAGCTGAGTACATAAGCATACGTAATTAACACACTAACACACAATTTCCTATCAGCCCACAACTTACCTTGTTGCACCTGTTTTTCAAGCACACAACATTCAATAAAAGTTCTCACTAGACTCTACATAATTTATTTAATGTTTACTATGCATCGAACGAGTTTCCGCTCTAACCTTCCCCAAATAAATTGAGGTTACTAACACGGGAGCTAACTGCGCCAGCATCAATAATCACTCACAGGTGGCGGAATTCCTGCGCATAATAATAATAATAAAAGGAATGTACAGCGTCCTGTACTCCAGTAGAAGTTATGATCAAATATAAAGTCACATAACTCCCCTCCCATATGTTCATACTCAAGGTATATACGTTCCAAGAGTTTTGGTGCGTGATCTCTTTCACTCTACGTTATTTACATATTACTAAAAATGGTGATGACTCTCAAACCATAATCATTCAATCAACAATAATTATCCAATCAACCAAATATACCAATTTAATTCTTGAGTAATTAGTGACCACATAATATTTAATGTTGAATTCTTTTTAATTATACCTCGGTGCCAATAACACCTTAAACGCATAAAACGCCACAAAACCTATCCCTCAGTGTTGAAAACACCTTAAGTGCACTAAGGCACCAACATGTAATTTATTCCTCGTGTACATAGACACTTATATAGCTCTTTCCTCATGCTTATAGCATCAATAAAAATTATATGAACCAAAATAAAATTCCTTTTAATATTCCAGACCAAATTAAACATTTAGTTTAATTAAACATGCTCTCTAACATGCCACAAATAAATATGTGGTTCATAAATAATATTCCAAACTATTATTTTCCATTTAATAATCCATCACAAATAAATCATCATGTTTCATAATCCAATCACCAATAACATCCAAATAATAATTTCCAATCCAAACCTAGCATGATACTACTTGTAATCAATTAAACACATTTAGCATGGTACTACATCAATATAATTTTGCTAAGTACGCGAACGTACCTTGTATACGATCTTAAAATCGCCACGACTAATAGAAATCGCTCACTTCAAAGTCTCCTACAATTTAAAATCATAGAAGAATATTAAAATCCTCTCTACACAAATTTTCAGCAATATATACTATTATAAAACCTCTCATAATTTAATTAAAATAAGCTGAAATTATATTTAAAAATCAAACTTTAATCCCCATTAATGGATAATTAAAATTCCTTTAAGAAACTTGATTTTAAATGCTCTACCAGAAATTCCAGCACTATATTTTAATTAAAACTTGTTGTAATTAAGGCTTAAAACACTTTAATCAAAGGTTTAAACCATTATACATCATAACCATTCAATAATTTATAAATCAAGAGCCTAGTGTTTCAAAAATTGGGGCTTTTTAATTAAAAACATAATTTGAAAATTAATTAACATAATACTCATAATCAAACATCAAAATCAAATCCCAAAACTCATAATTAACAATTAGATTTATGAATAAATTGGTTTTTTTTAAAAATAAAGATTCGATTTTTTTTCACGAAAGCCTTGGCAGCCGAAACCCACCCGGCTGCTGCCGGCGGCTGGGTCGGCCGGCTGCTGGCGGCCCTCGATGCTGGTGGTCGGCCGGTGGTGGTGAAGGGGAAGCCAAAAAAGAAGAAAAAGGGAAAGGGGAAAAGAGAAAGAAAAATAAGGAGAAAGGGGAGAGAAGTTTACCTTGGGTTTTCTCCACTCTGGCAAAGTTTGATTTGCCTCATGTGTTGAATATTTATACCCTTTCTCTAGAAACCCTTTTTCCTAAACTTTCCTCTTCTAATTTTCCTAATCCCTTCCCTAATAAAACTTTACTAAAATAAAAATTTTCTTAAATTAAACCCCTACTTAATTAAATTAATAAAATAAACTTTCCTTTTATAAATATTTCCAAACTTATCTAAAATAAATCATTAAAGTACTTTAAATAAAACAATTCAATTTAATTAAATACTTCTCAAAATACTTATTTTAATTAAAATAAGTATTAAAATACTAAGTATTACAGAAACCATTAAGCATGACCACTAAGCGTCGTCAGCCTCAACTTTAAATGAATACATATGAGCATATTTATAGTATACCCAAATTATTCTTTTCGTAAAAGATAAGTTTTCTCAAAATATATGTTTAAAGATATTTACCAAAAATATATTTTTTTGTTAAGAATATATTCAGTCAATAAAAATAAGATATATTTGCTATAAAATCAGATTTTATTTAAAACTTATATATTTTCCAAATATACTAGCTTATCTTTTTCGAAAGATACACTTATCATAAAATCAGATTTTATTCCAAACTTATATTTTCCAAATATACTAGCTTATCTTTTTCAACGATATACTTATAATAAAA